TTTTTTTTTTTTTTTTTTTTTTGTTTGTTGATCCATGAGGAGCGATACGAGTTATCCACTGTCATTTATGTTAGTTTCGACTGCCTGTGATAGCGGTTCGAGTCAGCAGGTGACTGACAGCTACAGTGACATTGCAGATACTACAAGTAGTACTGAAATTTATTCTGTATTTTTGGGGTTCTTTGTTTGACGCTGCTCGCGCCAAAGTCGAAAAGAAATCGACGTCATTGTAACCGTAGTCATTCATGCAAGGAATTTGACATCTGTAGAATGCTTTAGTCGTGTTACATACTTTGATTCACTGCTTGTAGAACTACGGACGAGAGAGTTTAGGGTTAAACAGACGTTCGCCAACCACCTCAATTCCTACACAAGGGATTCGCAAGGAAGAGAAGGAGTGAGGCAAAACAGACTCCTCAGTATCAATTATATCGCAGAGTGATAGTAGTAAGTAGTAAAATAGATACAAACAAAAACAAAACAAAACGCGGGTAATTAGGCACGCTAATAATACTTAGAAATGGGGAATCAAAGGGATTAAACCAACCCGAAACCTTTGAGAGCTCCAGAACGCAACAAGATGAAGCAGATACAGAAACCGAAACCCAACAGGAAATAAGAAATAAGGACAAAAGTTGTGATAGTCATAAGATGGGGGAAGTAGCCCATGCGTAATCCATGGTTGCGTCGAACATTTACCATGAACATATTGAATGAACCTTGGGGTCAAGGGAGAAGCATACTCTGGGGAAGCTCAAGACTCTGCTGTGTATTAGCGCGGATTTTAAATGTCATGACTGGTGTTCTCACTGCCGAGCTTGTCCAGCAACGAGATGCAAGCATGCATTGCAAAATAAGCCGTGCGGTTGTTTTCTAGCCAATGCCCTGGGAACTAGTTAGCTTCGATGAAAAAAAGAAAGAACGGAAGAAGGAAAACACGTACAGAACACCATTGCGTCTCGAGCAAAGCAATTTGTGATATTTACCAGGATCTTTTTTTCCACATCACTCAGACGAAGCTGGTGTTCGAATGCCTCATAGCAAATATTCTGGGTCCGGATACGCTCCTCGATTCCACGGGGGTCATGCCTTCAAAAATTAATTTTCTCGGCGACAGTACGTCTGGAGATTGTTAGTAAAGGTCGTATACTCTCGTTGAAATGCCATATTTCTGTGTCAGGTGTGCGAGATGTTCGTTCGCCCTTCTCTCCATGGCAAGAAAGGCCCTGTGAAATTCAAACTCTTGCTCGCCAGATATCCAACCTTGAACGGCGGGGTCAAGAATACTGTAGAGCTCAATTGGATGGCCTTCGAAGTCGGCAACGGTTGGAATGAAGTGAAAATTGGCCATAAGGGCATGGGGATAGAATCAGAAGTGACAAACAGGAGAATCTTTGCCCTCTGGCAATGTTCTGGCTCGATGAGGCAGATGGAGCACCATCTCGCCATTGCTCAGAGCGGATATCTGAGCCATGGTCGATATTCTGTGCCATCATGGCAAGGAAGTCAATGAGTTTGGTGTCAAGACGATGGCCATTGGCCATCTTGGACGACAGCATAATGATAAGATTGACGGAATTGATGAAGATTGGCGTGTTTTCGATAGGGATAAAGAGAGGAACGAGCGACAGTAGTCGACGAAGACGAGTTGAAAGAAATAAAAGCAAAAAAAGTAAAAATAAAAGCAAATTTCCCTTTTTTATTTTTCCGTATTTTCTTTTTTCTTTTGAACAGTGACCGGGGCGTCAAGTAGTAGGTGACTTCACGACCATTCACTTATAAACAAAGAAATGTGCCAACCACCCCACCACTCTGGACTTCTTCTTGGGCATGTTCTCTATCGAAATCATTTTTGAAAGTGCCTGTTCGTGTTCGTTCAACTTTCGAGGCCTCAATCTGTTGAGAAGGGAACCTTAAACTGACCGTTCGCCCCGAGATCTACATTTCGTTATACAACGGCAAAATGGCTACGGTACCTCACACTACTAATTCAACAACCAAATCCTCAGACACAGTTACAGAGCTGCTCTGGAAGGACGCTTTGTGTCATTTGAAATATACGAACAACGAGGTGCTTCTTCCAACCAATGTGCGAGACATGATCGGCCAAGATAATGTCGACAAGATAAAATCTCGCCTCAGGTAATATCCCCGAGCTATGGCTTCTTCGGTAGTTTTGCAAGCTAACGTATGATTGCAGTGCACTTCTTGGTGCTCCCGTTGTTGGCTTCATTGATGAGTCGATAAATGCTTTCCGTCTTATGCGCACCCCTACATTTTCGGGCTCTACGGTATCTGTCGCATCCCACGACACACTGGTAAAAGTGCCAAAGAAGACTCCAATCGGTTCGTCGACAAATCAACGGGAGAAGCCTTCAGTATCTTCAAAAGCTGCAAAAGTTCCGCGACCCCCAAATGCTTTTATCCTTTACCGCAAGGACCATCACCCAAAGATTAAAGAAGCGTACCCTGACTTTCAGAATAACGATATCTGTAAGATAAGAAGCTACCGAACTCCCAAGCCATTGTACTAACGAAATACAGCCATCATGCTGGGGAAGCAGTGGAAAGCAGAACCGGAAGAAGTCAGGACACATTACAAGGCACTGGCAGACGACCAAAAGAAGAAACACGCCGAAGAGTACCCCGACTACCAATATACACCACGTCGACCATGCGAGCGAAAACGTCGAGCATCATCACGCCAATACGCCAAGCACTCGAAAGCAGCCGCTGCAGCAGGTCTCGCAGCAGCAAGCGCAAAAGCAAAGCCATACGCCGGTATTGGGATAGGATTAGGATTGGGGTCAACACCAGAATTGGGAGCCGCGGGAGCAGGGACAACTACAAGATACACCCCCCAAGCCGAATCACCAACATCAATGACATCGGCTGCGACATTATCCACCGTTTCGACACCAGCAATGCAAGCAGCGAATGGCATGGACCACGACCTCTCCGGATTCAACGTTTTCTTCGGTCCCAATGATCTACAAGACGAGCAGTTCAACTTCGATACGGTCAGCTTCGACGCCATGGTACAGCAACTACGGAACAATCAGAACCAGGATATGTTCCTGCAACCGTTGAATCCTACGGAGCAGGCGGCGGTGGATTCGTTTGAATTTTCGGACTATATCGCAGATTGTTTCTGATCTTGATTCGACATTGACTTGGGCTGGTCTCGAGTATCGGAACGTGGTTTCTTTCGACTGCTTCTTTCGGCTCTTTTTTTTTTTTTTTTTTTTTTTTCCCCTT